TTCACGCTATTGTTATGTTAAGAAATAAGTATTCATGCGACAATTTCGCCACCCTCCATTTAGCTTCCTAACCAAAGTAGAGGAGGACCTTCCTGAAAATCACTGTAGATGTTTATTTTGTGATGGTCATAAAATATACGTACTTTACTTCAAAACTGGAATATATCAACTCTCCTCCAATATTTTTTGATTCAACGTGCACTTCAAAAGCGTTGAAGAAAAAAAAAATGTATTTTTCCACTACAAAAGTGAAATATTACGTATCTACTTCAAAAAAGCACGGTGATGTTATTTTCAAGCGAGCAAACAACGTTTTCTGCACTATTTTTCAAAATTCATAATTTCAAGAAGCCTAAAGATACCAATAAAGCTTGTATTGTTTTCACTTTACAAGTTGAAAATATGAAATTACGTAAATTTCCTCAAAGCTGCAAGAAAACAGAAGTTTTTTAGGGGCAAAATGACATACCTTTCAATATTGGCTCGCCACTCAAAAATTCTGGAAAAGATTTACGATTTGAAAAACATCATAATCATGAAAGTCGGACGTACCACCGCCATGATTTCTTTCACATCCCTCCCCTTGTTTTGAATTGTAGATATGATACTTGTTACTGATTAGCCAAATGTGCACCCTAGTCGCAAATTTTGTGTCCATCAAATGAAAAAACCGGGACATTTATGAAGTATTCTTTAATATGTGCTTTTTGTGCCCTACACACAATCATATAATTTTTGAAATTCTTCAGTACCTTCTCTGATAATTCACGAATTAGTCATATGTGTACACAGGAACAAGTCCATAGATATAAAGATATATGTACATACTATTAGCTACAAGATAAACCAATAATATACACCCCGATGTTTTGTAAATATAACGTAGGTAATAATTTGTCAAATATTCTTGGCCTTAAGATTTTTAACATTTTTCCAAAAGAAATACAAGAGATAACAAATTAAAATCACTTCACGTACAGTTTGAAATAATTGTCGTCTAGACCAGTTAGGTGAAAAAATTAAAGCTTACGCCTTTTGTTGGGTACTTCGACAAAATTTAAGCAAAGAGGACTCTTTATACTTTTTTAATTCTCTCTAGCTTTCAATGGACTTTGCCATCATCATCAGGAGCTGCAATTACAATGATAACAGTAGCAACAAAGGTGTAAAATGAATTTAAATTGACTCAACTTACAGTAGTATGTGAGGATGTTGCTAATTGTTGTTTACGTGTAGGATGAGGGAAACGTCCAGTAACATGGTGAGAGCTGGATAGTTGTACAATGGTCAAAATTATATACAATATGACAAGAACAAGTTAAAAACAGATTAAAAATTATTTAAAAGACATTAGAGCATTACAACATGAAGTCACTTGATGATTGCACAAATTAGTGGTCATGGAATAGTGAGTGACATGAAACCCTTTGACAGAAGGCCGAAGGATGTCAATGTCAGTGTTGAAAGATGGAACGAATTGTGGGCGTGTGTATATATATAACTTTCTTGCATCTTTTAACGATCCCTATACAAACGCTGTTTGTCCAAAGGAAAATAAATTATTGTTGTTAGGAGGAGTAGACCATATTCATTATATTAATTATTACATCAAAAGCGCCTTCTAATTGGTCGAATTGCTCCCTAGGCGGAAATAATTCCCGCGGGTCAATAGTAAAATCGGGCCTATATAACCCTTATTTCGACAGCACTGGATGCACATGTTTGGCTGTTCTATATACGAAAAGCGAACAATATCTAATTAAACTTTGTATATATAGCTTATTCCTCGTATTAATTAACTAATTGCGATTGGGCTGCATTTTTCGTGCATCCACCGCATCCCAGGACAACATCACATCGCAATCAGCTACCTAATATACATAATTGTTGTAAGTACCTTATAAACATTGCAGTTCAGGATCTCATGCACCATGAAATGCCTGTCATATGTCAATGGAAATGGATGCAACGTCATCAGGATATGGATGCAACTTTGGGCAGTCGAAAAAAATGCAAAATCCCTTACTGGCATCTCTTTATTGTTAACATTATCACATACAATACATATAATTATTGAAGCAAAGTATAAATGAAACGATTAAAATAAAAATCTGCATCTCATTAAATCTGAATGGTCCTTTTGCAAGATTTTGTATTTGATGTGATTTTGCGTCATTTGGAACGATAGACGTCTGTTCGTTCGTTGTTTACACGGAATATCTGACGGGATTAAAACAATATTCAAATTCATGACAAATTCAAAATATGCATTTCAGGCATATTTACTGGGCATCATATGAGTTACTCTTCAGTCAGGCTAAAAACAAGAAAATTCAACTATTAGGAAAAAAGCTCAAATAGTATTTTTATATAGTAGTATTTTTGATGTCTACTTTAACACATGTTGCCATCCGTTCATCAACAGATTTCAAGCAGTAACCAAAACACGATATTTCAATGCCCTATCAACTGTACTGTTTGTATATTTTTCTATCTCCCTGAAACGCTGTGATACGTAAATTCATCGTCTTCAATTCTGAGAATACACACGACACGGGAATATTTTAGTTGTATTCCATGGGAAATATCCTTCAATGAGAATTCTTCCGTAACTTGATTTATGATCACCCCATCAATCTGGATTGCTGTGGTGCTAGAAGCCGTGAAAATATTTCAGCAATGACCCTAATAGGTGTGCCTCTACTTCTGTCTCACCTTGTATGCATTTACCTCTTCGTTCACTTCTCAGATGCTACTTCAATGCTGGCTTGAAGCAACAGTTACGAAAATCTTCAAGAAAGGTGATAAGTACATACAATGCGAAAAACTATCGTCCCACCACTCTCACTCCCATAGTTGCTAGAGCAGCCGAAAAAACTATACTTGATGAAATGCTTAAGTGTGCCACCGTAAATAATATTTTACCAGCCAATCAACATATTTTTCTGCCAGGTCGCAGGTCACAAACCTGCTCAAATGCGTCAACGACTGGCCTAATGTGATAGATATCAACACTTGTCTGGAGATGTAATACAAAAAGTTCCCGGAATTTATTAAAAAAATAAACGATACAAGTTTATTGTTCAAAACCGATTCTGTCCCCTTCAAAGTAGTCTTCATTGACTGCAATTCACTTATGCCAACGCTTGATCCAGTTCTCGAAACATTTTTTAAGCTCGATGTTAAGTATCTCTATTAAGGCCATCTCCGATTCTTCCATTATCTCTTCTCGGCTGCTGAAACGGCCTCCTTTCAGTGGCTTTTTGATTCGATTGAACAAGAAGAAGTCACAGGGGGGCAAATCAGGTGGATTGGCTTATTGTTGAATGGTATTCGTGTTGTTTTTTGCCAAAAACTCAGGGATAATGATGGCATTGTGCAATGGTGCGTTATCGTGGTGCAAGATCCACAAGTTGTTTGCCTACAAATGCTTGTTTTGACGTATTGATTCACGCAAACATTTCAAAACACCCAAATAGTACTCCTTGTTAACAGTCCGACCTTCTGGCAAGAATTCACTATGCACCAGGCCATAGTAATCCATGAAATCCGTGAGCATTACCTTCTTTTTCGACTGGAAACGATTTACGGTTTCTTCGATCTCGGCTCATCCGGAGCGCGCCATTCACTCGCCTGATGGCTTGACTGCCTTACGTCTCCAGTAATGATGCGTTTAACAAATGTTGGGTCAGAATCAGCCATGGAAATCATGTCTTTGGCAATATCAACACGGTCATTTTTTTGCATGAAATTCAAGTCTTTTGGCACCAACTTGGCTGCAACACGACGGAGACTCAAATCGTTGACCAAAGTGCTTTGCACGGATCCATCTCTCCGATAGTTAATTTATGGTTGACGGCCAACATTTTTTTCACTTTGTCTACGTTTTCTTCTGTTTTCCATGTCGATGGCCTGCCGCTGGGCTCATCATCCGCGATGGACTGACGACCTTCTGCGACCCGTCGAAAACGGCTGTTTTCTTCAAAGCATCGTTGCCGAAGCATTTTTAACACAAAATTTAATGCAATCGCGTTGTTGTTGACTCAGATTCATTTTAAAAATCCTAATAAATCGTGAACACGCTCAAAGGCACATGTACCCAACTCGACGTAGCTTTGAAAACTGATAATGAAGTGACGCCAAAATTCGGGGGAATATCAGTGAAAGTTGGGCATTATAACAAGAGAAACAGGACTGACAACCGAGTGCTACGAGCGAAACACGGCGACCATTCCGGGAACTTTGTGATCAAGGTGGTATATCTGGATTTTTCGCGATCGAGTACCACGCGCACTTCTCTACAAGTTGGAATACTTAGGAATAAGTGGATACCTAAGAACTTTCCTTAACAGCAGAGATTTCACGGTGAGGGTAGGCGACTCAATATTAACCAGTAGGGTGGTGACTAGCGGCGTTTCCAAGCGTTCAATCTTGGGACCTTTGGTGTTTCTTCTATAGGACCTACCTTATGTCATATCTTCCGCCTGCTGATCGTATACTGATGAGACAAAGTTATATAATATCCCCCGTGCCAATGATACCATCCTTCAACGTGATCTCAACAACGTTTATGATTCTTCCAGAAGATGAGCTACCCCTCAACTTGGAGAATTGCTGTGTCCTTCACTTTGGAAAGAACAATCCAAAGACCAATAACATTATCGGGAACCAAGAAATCTCCTCTGACTCCAGTCACATATATTTAGGAGTCGTTGTAACGAGTCTATCATGGTCCGATCATAACCAATACACAACGACTAAGGCCAAAAGGAGTCTGTGCCTTAATGGAAGATCTTTCAAGGCTGTACACGACATGTCAGACCAATTATGAAATTCCCCGGACCTGGTTGGTATCCAGTGCTACAACTTCCATTTCCATTTTTTTCTGCCTATCCGAGTATTTGATACCTAGAACCAGTTGTCCTACGACGTTGTTAAGGCGTCCACATCGGATTTAAGAATCATTTCGACAGATGGGTGCACGACGAACTCTAGTTTGCTTATGACATGTTCTTTATTTTTTCTATGTTTGGTTTCCTATCTCTGTTTGAAGATTGTAGCTTGCTCACCTCCCCTATTATGTATAATAATAATAATAATAATAATAATAGTAATAATAATAATAATAATAATAATAATAATAATAATAATAATAATAATAATAATAATAATAATAATAATAATAATGTGTGGAATACCGAATTACAGCTGCATCACGCTGAAGGGTGTATAAAAACTGATAAAATAAGAATCCGCAGAGGGATATTCCAAGGAGACTCCTTGTCACCGCTGCTATTCTGCATCTCCCTGGTTCCACTGACTAACGCTCTGAATTCTGGAAAACTTGGATACGAGGTCAGGCAGGGTTCCTATATAAGTCACCTATTATATACAGGGTGACTTTGAAGTTGAGTCATTTATTTTAACAGTGAGTAGATCTGATCAAAAGAAATGTTTTTTTCCTTTAACATTTTTGTGGTAAAATTAAAGTAACAAAGTTATAGCCCTGTAGTACTTTGAGTACCGCCCTGTCTCGAAAATAATATTATGTGCTCGTGTTTGGCAACAACGGATATAATCTGCCTTATCGGTTCAGCGCATCGGAAACAAAAAAGCGAAAGAATTTGAAACGCTTATCACGATGTGTTTACTACAATTTTATTCAGTTGTATTCAGTCAATGTGTCAGTCGGTAACGCGTGAGTGAATAGTGGTGTTTGTTGGGTGACTCAAACGAAATAAAAAATGGCACATGTTTACAAAAATGCTGAACTTGTGGACATGATTCTTATTTACGGGGGGGGGGGTTCTTTACAAAATGCTGCCTCGGCATCACGGATTTATGCGGATCGGTTTCCCAATCGAGTGCAACCAATCCCTAGGCCTTTGTTATGTAGTATAAAGGGCTCGTGAATCAGGTGACTTAAGACCTCACAGGAGAGGGCATGCTGGTGCTCCAAGACCGCATGATCAAATACAGGTCAGCACTGAAATACTTGTCGGGAGGATACTTTATAAAACAAGGTAAAATTTTTTTTTTTATTTTTACACACATATTTTGGTTTATCTTCCTTCTACAATCATTATCTGAAAATTAATGACTCAACTTCAAAGTCACCCTGTATGGATGACCTCAAGTTATTCGCATCCAGCAACAAGCAGCTAGATAGAGAGCTAGACATTGTGAAGCGGTTTAGTGAGGACATATGCATGCAGTTTGGCCTGGAAAAATTTAAAAGGATCACGATTACCAGAGGAAAGGTCTCAATGAATGTAAACCAAATAACTGAAAATAGTGCAGGATTTGACTACCTTGATCCAAGTGAAACCTATAAATATCTTGGCGTACATGAAAGTGACGAGGTACATCATGAATCTATGAAAGAAAATGTGAAGAAGGAATACTATGGTCGGTTAAGGCGAATCTTGAAAACAGAACTGAGCGCCAAAAATAAAATAAAGGCAGTCAACAGTCTTGCTGTACCGGTAATGCAGTATAGCTTTGGAATATTAAACTGGAGCGGATCAGACATTGAAAAAATAGATAGAAAAACCAGGAAACTGTTAACCATCTATAAGTTTCATCACCCCAAAGCTGACAAAGACCGACTCTATATTCCAAGGCGTGATGGTGGCAGAGGTTTAATTGAACTCTGCAGTGCCTACAGGATGACAATTGCCGGCCTTTATGAGTATATACTCCGTTCCAACGACAAGTTCATCAAGTTAGTGCTATTGCATGAGCAACAAAAGGCTAAATACTCCATTACAAAGAAAGGGGAAGCCATGAAAAGAGTAAAGGAGGCCATGCGAACAGAAAAAGTCAACGCCCTAAAATCGAAACCACTTCATGGACAGTTCTACAATAACCTACACAAAACCAATGTAGATAAACACATGTCCCTGGATTGGATGAAAAGTACAGGACTGAAGGCGGAGACTGAAAGTCTACTGATTGCTGCACAGGACCAGGCACTTAACACGCGCTACCATAGGAGAATGGTCCTGAAACAGAATGTCGACAGCAAATGCAGAATATGCCATCAATGTGAGGAACATATAAGCCACATTATTTCAGGCTGCTCAACACTGGCACCAACAGAATACACCGAAAGGCACAACAACGTCGCTAAATACATACACTGGGCTATCCTCAAGCAGTACCAGTTAGCAACAACTGGTATGATCATTCTCCTGAAGCAGCAGTAGAGACAGACGAACCATCAATTATGTACGACAAAGGAGTCATTACCGACCGTACGATTTCCGCCAACCGACCTGATATTATTTACCATAATAAACTGCTAATTGAGGTATCTGTACCTGATGACAACAACGTCAACACCAAAGAAGCGGAAAAGGCCAGAAAATACAAAGACCTCGAAATCGAAATATCGCGCATGTGGAAGACAAAGACAAGAACGGTACCCGTGATCATCGGAGCTTTGGGGACTGCCACTATGTCATTCAAGAACAACGTAAAAGAACTCCCCGGAGATGTTTTTGCAACACAAGTTCAAAAGATACCACTGCTAGGAACAGCCCACATCTTGCGGAAAACCCTTTCCGACTAAAGACCTTAGAACTCAGGCAGAGTTCCGGTCAAGCTCATCCCTTCCTCTAGGAGTGAAATACAGAATAATAATAATAATAATAATAATAATGATGATAATAATAATAATAAAATGACTACTAATTCAGAATAAATGTAGTAACTCCCCTTCAGGTGCATGATTACTCAAGGAATTGCTGAAAATAGGCAGATATTTGTCTCCTTTCCATGCATCAACAAATTGTGAACCATTTAAGTGTCAAAAACTGAGTTATTTTATACAGTAACCAAAAACGCTACATTTTAATCTCTTAACGCCCTTATTATTTCCTCTACCACAGTGTTCCATGTCTTTGAACTTTCAACAGGTTGCATTGTAGATTAAGTTCAGGCTGGTTTATCGTAATACTTGCAGATACTAAAACTCTAACTTTTCCCATATAAACTTGTACAGGATGGTCAACTAAGAATGCGAGGTACTGTATCTGGGAACCTATCCATCATCGAGGCTTGCAGCAAAAAAGTTCTTACTAAAACGGTCAAGAGAAAAACCTGGAAAATATTTTTGTTTCTGAAATGGCCGCTAGGGGACATAACTGCAACCTTCAATCTGAAAAAGTGATGTTTCTGTAAATTCCGCTATATTAACCTAACAAAAAAATACCTGATTTCTAAAGTCGATGATAATGTGAACTTTTTTTGTTGGGCAATTTTTGCTGTATCTCTAAAAATAAGGTGGGGGTATTCAAATATTTCCATAAAAAACATACTGTATCTTTGAAACGGCTGAGCCGATTTTAACAAACTTGGGCTAGTTGAAAAGAGCTATTCTTGGGCTACAAATGTTATAATGTTTGAAGTTTTGTTATTTTCATATGTGGCTGCTAGAGGACTTTTTTCGACGTTCCGACCAAAATGGTCGATTTTCTCAAAAAAAATGGAATGCATTGGTATGATTTTTTATGAAAAAGTAGCTAAGTGATGTCTAAACAAGCTCGCGAAAACCGCATCTCGATATCTTGTTCATAACCTGAAATTTAGGCCAAAGAAAATTTTAGACGGAAATGTCTTCAGAATGCAGCAGTAGCAAAAAGAGTTTACACGACTCGATATCTAAATCTGCGTCTTTGCGATGTGAGAGTTTTTCCCCGATTAGTGGTGAGCTTACGAGCCAATAGTAGTTTTCGCCCTTCGTTTCAACTGCAAAGAATTGGAAGAACACAAGGAAATATTAACCGCGTACTGGGATATATTGGAGTGAATCCTCACAAGGGCATTATCCCTTGAGTTGGGCATATCACAAACAACGGTTCAAAACATTTTGAAGGCACTTAGGTAATTCATCTTTTTTTGATTACTTTTAGAATGCACCTAGATCATGTCGTTTTGCATCAGGCCTTGATAGGCGAAGTGTTTGATCGGAGGTTGGACTATTGCCGTTAGATGTTAGGCATGATACGCGAATATAAAGAATTTTTATTTCGAATGAATAGTGACGGGAGAGGCAATCTACACGATATGCATTACTCGTCTGCAGAAAATCCGTCTTGGTTGCGTGAAGTTCAGTTCCAAGGACACTGGAGTTAAATGTGTGGTGTAGCATACTGGGAGCCTGAATTATTGGGCCATATTTTTTCGATCAATCCCTAAATGGCAATGACTTTCTTGAGTTTTTGGGCAATCAATTACCGTTGTTGTTGAAAGACGTGCCACTGGAAACACGGCAAAACTTATTTTATTATTGTGCGAGAGCATATTAATGCAGTATTTCAACAGCGGTGGATTGGAAGACGAAGTCAGTTTCCATAGCATTCGCGATCACCAGATTTAACTTGTCTTGACTTTTATTTACGGGGACGGTTAAAGGACATCGTGGTTCAGACTCAACCTACAACCAGAGACGATATGGAAAACTGGATTCGTATTGCAATACCTGACATACCGACAGCCGAAATTAAAGCTGCTGTTTTGTCTACCCATGAGAGGCTTTAGGAATGCATAGAGCGTGATGGTCAGAATTTCGAGCATTTACGGGGGCATTAAACACCTTTCTTGTTTGAATCGGTCCTTTTTAGGGTCACAACTTAATAATAAAAAGAAATTCCAGAAAGATTAGTAAACAAAAATAAATATTTGAGGTATTTCGTATAAAATTTTCTTTGGTCTCTATTATAGGTTAGGAACAAGATATCGAGATGCTGTTTTCGCCTGTTTAGACACCATTTAGCTACTTTTTCATAAAAAGACAAACCAATGCTTTCAATTTTTTGAGAAAATCAGCCATTTTGTCGGAATGTTGAAAAAGCCCTCTAGCGGCCACATGTGAAACTAACAAAACTTCAAATATTTTAACATTTGTAGCCCAAGAATAGCTCTTACCAACTAGCGCAGGTTTACTAAAGTCTTTTCGAAGATACAGGGTGTTTTCTACGGAAACCTTTGAATACCCCCCATTTTTATAGATCATCAAAAATTGTCAAACAAAAAAAGGTCAGATTATCCTCGAATTTCAAGATCAGGTAT